AAACCCTTATTCCCCAGGGCCTGGAACTCATCAAACAGGAGAGCATTTCACTGGCATTTCACTTTACTAATAGAAAGTAAAGATATTTGTTTATTTCACATGGTTTTTAAGGGGACAGGAAATTCTGAGATCCTCATAAAAGATGGGAAATGCATCACTAGGAGGCTCAAAACGCAAACAAGGCAACTGCCTTCTTCAGTTTTGTGTTCTGGGAATCAAAGAGGCAGTGAAGGCAGTAATTTTTCCTCTAGCATCATTATTCTGCTTGAACTTCCATCTTGCAAGAAGAAGCTATCAAAATAGTCTCACATGTGAATGACACAGGCTTTCAGTATTGCATTATAGTTGGTCTTATGTTTTCTTTTTTCTTTCCTAGAAGATTTTGCTAAAAGACTTTCAAACGTATGCAATTGATAAAACCCCCCATAAACTATTTTCCTAAGATGAAGAGATTTAAAGCACCAGACAACTCTGACACCCATCACTGAAACGGTGAGATGTGACAAAGGATTTAAAATCTCAAGGAATCTGCTAAAAGAAGTTACGAGGTATGGGACAGAGACCCCACATCTCTGTACCAGTGTGTAGAGGCTTAGGCAGAAAGACAGAGGCACTGTGTTAGATGGTGGAGAAGCTACACAGCTAAGTTATCAGAAACCACACATCAAAAATTCCTCTGATTCCTCTGATTTTTTCCTCCTTATTTTTTCTTTTCCTCCATCAGCACCATTGCCAGAATGGCTGGTAACACACTTTCATACTCAGGCCAGCCCACCGTGACTTCAACTAGTGTAACACATGTGCATCTTCTCTTCCACCAGAACTCACCTCCCGGAATGCAGTGAGGGATAATCAAATAGCTGCAGAAGAGGTTCAATGTCACGACAGGTTTCTTGAAGGATTCCTCCTGTGGACGCATCTACAGCTGCCACGTCAGTTTATAGAGGCATTGGTCGCATAATAATATTTTATGTACCAAGTGCCACAAGAGTGTTGTCACCTTCTCCAATCTGTTTGTGACCCCCAGTGTAACACTGCCATGAAGGACTGTTACGGAAGCTGGTCAATGTCTTCAAGGCTGGTGTCTATGTTTGAATATTCTTGGTGTGCTCTGTACTGTACTGACTGATGTGCCAGCACTGACTGGTTTTGTTTGACTATCAATGAGAAATATAATTATTACTTCTATGAATAACTTCTCCAAAAGTAATAGCAGTAATCAATATGTTTAAAAACATACTTTGTTAAAAGGAAGTTGGAACTAGGAACTCCCAAGCAGGAATGGGCGGCAAGAGGTCAGAGGATGCTACGTGAGTTTTTGGTAGGGTTTAAGGAAAAGTAAATAATGAAAGAGCACCTATACACTGCCTGCCTACATACACACACATCACTCCAGGGTGCATTTCCTCCTCTTGGAAAACAATACAATAGCTCCAGTTCAAGAAGGACAAAGAACTACTGGTCCAGCACAGGGCCACTAAGATGATGAAGGGCCTGCAGAGGATGCTACGTGAGTTTTTGGTAGGGTTTAAGGAAAAGTAAATAATGAAAGAGCACCTATACACTGCCTGCCTACATACACACACATCACTCCAGGGTGCATTTCCTCCTCTTGGAAAACAATACAATAGCTCCAGTTCAAGAAGGACAAAGAACTACTGGTCCAGCACAGGGCCACTAAGATGATGAAGGGCCTGGAGCACCTTCCGTGTGAGGAAAGGCTGAGAGAGCTGGGTCTGTTTAGCTTGAAGAGGAAGCTTAGGAGGGATCTTATCTATGCTTATCAATATCTAAAGGGTGGGTGTCAGGAGGATGGGGCCAGGCTTTTCTAAGTGATGTCCAGTGCCAG